CACTTGCGTCGCAACACTAACAAACGTTATCAAGTGAATGTTTTATAACTGCGTGGTGTACCGGAAAAAAAAGTTCACGGAAAAAATAAATCGGAAGAAAATAATTAAGTTACAATTTGTTTGTAATCATGATGTTTGTATGAAAGTAGTTTTGTTAGTTATGCCAAGTACTGAATATCCTACGAAGTTATAGTATTTAAAAATGTCAGTGAAAACGAAATCTCGCAACCCCATCACTAAATTACTGTATTCTCGTGGGGCATTATATTTTTTTTTATAAATATCTTACACGTTTTTATCAGTAGGATTACAATACGACATATTGCTTAAACTTCAATAATTATTTTATCGGCTTATTTGTTAGCTCAGTGTTTTTGATAGTAATAATTATATTTTATTTGCAGCCTTCAAAGTAACATTATCGCACGTATGACGTGCAGGCATTTTCTACGAAGTATCTCGTATAGAATAAAAGTGAACTGTCAGTTTTTTAAAATACAAATTTGATATTTATATACAAAATTTCTAGTGTTCTGATAAAAAAAAAAGTAAATAAAAAAAATGATCATGGTCCCTAGAGTTTGTATTTATATTTTTTTTATAACCCTTTGTGTTTCGATTAGTAGGTTGGTTATTGAATAAAATACTATCGATTTAAATTCTCGTGGAAAAGCTTTACTGAAAAAATTCGTTTATTTCATACAATATATTTTGATCCGTTTTAAGCTGCATATACGAGACCGGTTGAATGGATTTTCAACGAATGTGCTTCTGCTTCGGTAAAGTTCATGCTGTAGTTACTCGTGCCAATAAGTGCAACGTCCGAACAGAGTTCCGAAGTAAATAGTACGTTACACTATACTGAACTATGTTACTAGCATTCGTAAAGCGTTTTCTAGTAGTCTTAGACCAGTGGCTTGTTCAGGAGTTTTTCCAGAAGAAAAACTACTCCTGTTATAATTTTATTTCTGTGAAAATGTTTGCAATAATTTACGAATGCATTGTTACTGTTAAGAAAAAAATAAAATTTGAAACACTGAAATATTTGTAGCAATAATTTTACGACAAAGTAAAAAAATTACCGTGAAGAGGGTCGACGTAATATTATTATAACCCTTGACGCATCAGTAAATATGACGTGTAAATCTATTGGTTTTCGTCGACGAATTCCTCTCCAGAAACGGGTTTATATATACAGTGCACAACACGCTAATGCTGCCGCGTTAGAATAATTCAATAATAATATTAATAACAATAATAATAATTCAAATTCATCGTCGTGCGTCCACGGTTTTGGGGCGCACCAGCGGGCGCAACAACCGCTTTTGACACACGCCACAGATGGTGCATACACTTTGTCTCGCGTTCCGTTACATGTAATATTGCTGATATTATAATATTATTGTATAACGCAAACGTGAAGATTTTGATCGTACTCTGGTCGGACTCGGTGCGATCTATTCGGAATGAATATTGTAGCCACGACATTCAGAGGTGTCGATCGGTGTTCGGATTGTTGTGGTGTTCAGAAACAGTTGGTAATAAAGAAGCACGAAAATACTCATACACTAGTGATTTTCGTCGGCTACGACAGGATGCTTTATATAAAACCCAGCTAACTCCTTATAATCACAACATTTGAAATCTGTTCTCATTTTATCAGAAAATAATTATAAAAATATATTTTTAACCTTATTTTTTAGATAATTTTCTCACTGTTAACGAAAAATATAGTAATTTTAACTCAGAATTTTAATTAAGAAGAAATAAAATAAAATTAGTAAGTTGTAAATTTCCAACAAGCATATGCTGGAAACGGATGAGTCGAGTTGATAAAATTAAAGTATTAATAAAAAAAACTTTTCTAAAAAAATTGTTCGATTTACGAAATTTTATTGACTATTTATTCTTATTATTGTAGAATTTCTATGCCAATTCTCTAAACTTCTGGTTAATGTCTTTAAAAAAGAACGACTACAGAAAGTACAGCAATGAATACCTGAAGGTTTCGTTTTTTTTTATGAAAGCATTCTGAAGTGGCCAACAGATGTATCATCACAGATGGACGTTGAAGATAAATTTTCAAGTTCATAAAAACTTTATTTAATTTTTTAATATTAAGAAAATAATTTTCTGCTTATAATCTCAACTTATAAAAATAAAATAAAAATAAAAAGTTTTGTATTATTTTTTTCAATATCAAGATTATTTTAAATACTAAAATTACCATCGACCTTGGATGTTTTTTTTTAATTTTATTAACGATATAGTTTTCTACTTGCATAAAAAGTCACATGAATAAAATGACAAGTGCAAGAAAAATGTTTATATTCATTTTTTATCAATAACATGGGTATTTTAAATTTTTAATCACTGTCGTCCTCGGATGAATTTCGAAAAGGATTCATCTCGGAAAACTTAATCGATCGCTTTTCCAATCAAATTTCACTTCAAGAATATCGTATTACATAGACATAATATTACATACAAATCTGTAATTAAAAAAAAAAAAAATTGCTAAAATAAAGAAAATAATGTAGGTTTTTGAGTTTCCTATAAAATATTGATTTTCATTTATGAACCATTTTCGAAATTTTCAATTCAAATATTTTCTCCTTAAAGTCTCTATAGTTTTCCGAATAATTTAGAAAAACTTTAATTTACTATTAATAAATTTAAATAAAATTGAAAACTAGATTTTAATAAGATTGGTAATTTATTAGAAAAAATTTTATCGAGAAGAAGAAAATCTAAATTCTTAAAAAAAATTCAGCCGTTTTATCAATTTCGATTGTCTGTCCCGACAGGATGAACAAGGGATTATTTTTCTTCATATAATTATATTTAGTTATATAATATAATGTGCATTCATTTCACTGCGGACAATAATTTTGGTCATAATATTTTCAAAATACGAGAATTAGTGTTTTAATTATTGTAAGTTGTCAAACCACTAAGATGGTTGTTAACTTAATATTTATTAGCTGACAAAGTCATCTCGATATGTATTACGTGTTGAAACATAATCAAATCTTAGAACTAAAATTCAAATTCCATCAAAATAATATTATATTTGGTATACCTATATTGAGATATTTTAAGTGATTACGAAAAAAAAAAAGTAAAATTATGTAGGGTTAAGATATAAATCGTCTAGGACCACCATGATTTGTATTCGTTCGGTTTTATCAACTCTAACTCGTTGAGACCAAATATTGTGTAGGCGCGTGTGTGAGCGAGTAATATAAATTAAATACGAGTTTTATAATAATATTACGCATTTATACATTTTCACGGTGCGATATTACATCACACGTTATATAGCGTTTTAAAACGCACAAGAGTAAACACGATCCGAGACGGGTGGCGGTCGCTGCGAACCAATGGTGGTGGTGACCATGGGGTCGATTTGGCTCGGGATGTTTGCGGCGAACGGTACGCATCGATTCGACCGGATAAGTGCCATCCGTTTGCCGGTTCGTGTGCCGGCCGAGGATAAAATCGTAAAATGTTCTTTCGCAAAGATGTACTAACGCCGTCGGAAGACGACTTGCCCGCTGATGACGACGCCACTCCACGGGACTTCGTCTAGTCTTTTGGGCGCCCGTGAGGCAAACGCTGGCGGCGGCCAACGGGGCAGGGATGACGCACGCGAGTACACACGGATACATGTGTATAGGGAACGGGCGATTGGGGGTAAATATAGGGGAAGGGAGTGCAACGACGAGAGTTATAAATGGACACAGATACTGTGGGGAAAAATAAAAACTAAAATATATCTGTCTCGCAGTACGGAACTACGAGATATTGTGTGTGTGTGTGTGCGTGCGTGTGTGTGTATGTGTGCGCGCGCACAGAAAAATAGCAACAACAATAAAACCGAGGATGTTGCGAAACGGAGGGTGCCGAGCAGATTAATCGGTGTTGGCAACGCCAACCGACTCGATGGCGCCCGTCCGCCACCGACGAACGAATATTATACATCCTCCTTTTTCCCGCTTGCAACCCGCGCGCCATCGCCGCTGCTCTTGTTGTGCGAACGGTGCACAAGTCAATCGGCGACGAGTGGTGCATTTTCCCATGCTGTCATTTAAAGGATATTGTGAAGTACGAACGGAAGTTATTGTCCCGTGCTTGCAGCCGCCACCGCTATTCGCCGAGTGTGTCCGTAGCGCAGTTACAGAAATAACAGCGCGGACGATTCTTGCCGGTGGTAGAGCGATATGTACGGACATCTATAACATGGTCCCAGTGAGGTATTTCAGATTTCACTTGGTTCGTGTAATCGAGTGGAATAGATTTTCGAATCCGATTCGTTCAACGGTATATGTGATCTTTGCCACTCTCCAGTTGTCGATATTCTTTTGTCCGACGTGTCGGTGATTTTTCGTTTTCCTTATTAAGTTGTGGTTGAAACTATCAATCTGAAAGATTTTTAATTCTACCTCGTTGTGTCCGTTGTACAAAACGTGTCAAGTTATTGAGAAAACATTTTAAATTTTTTTATTTTCTCATTCGTTAGCTCTGCACTTTTCGAATATAGCTTTTTTCGTCTCGAATAAACACACAGACGATAACGGCGAAACTCCACAAAGGCCTATCGAAACTCTTCTGAGACATATCTATAAAATAACATAAGACCTTTTATATCATATACTTACCGGTTAAAAATACATATCTTGACAAAATAAACAAAAAAAAAAAGAATATCTCACTCTTTAGTACAGTGTACGTTACGCGATTAAAATTCTGTTTACGATTAACACCATGGTACGACGAAATTTATCCGCTGTCACATTACGATGATTATACATGCGCATTGCTTACCTATTGTTATCGGGTGGGTTATTGTACGCGTACACGAAGGTCGCGATAATCAGGGGTTGGTATTGGGTATAATTGGATGTTATGCGTTCAACGCGCGTGTGATTACTATCAAACTCGGTTTGATCGTTGATCGATAACTAATGTATATTTCATTGTATTCGTTTTCGTTGCAGGCGTGCAGGCCAGTTGGGACGAATGGTGGACGTACGACGGCATATCAGGTAATAATCACATTAATTCTGATCATATGTTTTTTATGTTTTGCAATACTATTATCGTCGTTGTAAAGTAGCAATAGGCGTAGAAATGTTGGTGACGAAACGTACGCTCGTTCGGTTACCGGATGGTCGTCGTCAGCGTGTCGGAGAGTATACAGGGGTGGGAATGGGGCAGCAGAAAGAAAAACCGTTTTAATTGTATGGGCAGCGCGCGTCGTATTGATGACTCGTAAAATTAGCATACCGAATTGTATAAGCACAACGATTTAATTAAGATCTTGGTGAAATCCCGCTGTGCGAGTACACTTAATAATAATTGTGATTTAAACTTGAACAAGTTATACTTGTGCGCACAGTCTAAAGACTTAAGGGCAACACATTATACTTTTTTAGTAGTTTCGAGTTTTTAGTTATGGTTGTTTTACGCTGGAAAACGATGATCGAATAAAATATGGTATGTTGCAAATAACGACACGGAACAATAGTCAAATGAAAATGAACAGTTTCAAACAGTTAATTGTAGCGTACGAAGGTCGATAATATTGGAAATTACACGACAGTCAAAATTTAATGCATTTTTTAATTATTTACATAACTGTTAACCCATTTGCTTTACGTACTGCATAAATGTTCGCACTCTACGGGATCAATTACCGTGATTTTATTTAAATGCATTGCAGTATTTTCATTTTCAGTATCATACACGGCTAAATACTTCGAGTTTAAAAAATATGAATTGTGTATAAAATAATAATAATTATAAATAATAAAATAATAATATTATAATTGCTATACAGTAGCGTTCTTTAATTATAGTTCTATAGAAATATACAATTATATGTTATTCTCTTATGTATTTCCTAAGATTAAATTGAGTATAACACAATATGGATATTGAATGTACATTAGATTTTAACGTATTTACATAAATATTAGTAAAATAAAATAAACCGAAAACTTGAAAAAAGTAACGTACCGTTTGGACACGTATATTTACGGAATTAGGAAAACGATTTTAAATAAACAAGATATCATTAAAAATATACTTCAAATTTTAAGTGTATTCTTTTATGATTTTAAATTAATTCAAAAGTAATTCTAAAACAAAATAATATTAAATTCAATCAAATTTTTTTTTGATTTTCATGTTAAATATTCATAGATAATATATTAATATAGATAAAATACTTTTGTGGTTATAATCAAATTGTGTTCGTATAAAGTATTCCTTATTCAACAATAAGCTCCATACTCATAAAATTTGAAATAATAAATTATTCTTGACCTGTCACACTGTAATATTTGTTTTTCCTTCATGACACTTGGACAGTAGTTATGTTCAGTATATTATTTTGTGTTTTTTAATGTTATTATTCTAAAGGTGTGAAAGGACTTTAACACGCAAGTGACGTATTTTTTTTTATTTTTTATTATTTTATATGATATCGTACGAATTCAGTTTTAAACAAGAACCCGTCGAAAAAAGTTTCGGTATGGAACCTTTCATGTTATCAAAACATGTCTTGCAGTATTTTATGCTTGACAGTTATCACAAACATAATTTCCTGGAATCATTATATTATCATTAAAAAAAAAAAAAAAAAAAATGCTTATTCCAAAAGCGTGGTAAGTTTGTTACTGTAGTTTCAATTGAATGAACATCCTGGGTGGTTTTTTTCATTGTCATTCAAAAATAATTGAAGAAAGTATGCAATGAAACGGTATTTTTTTATGTTGATTTATAGATACATTATCTTTAAAAACTTACTACTGTTTAACGTCCAGCGTCGATAAATTATTTTGATACTTATTAGTGACCCTAAACAGGGTTCGTTTTCATAATAATCTTTTGCATAACTTTATCTCATTAAATATTTAGTTATTTATATGAGTTTCTAACTATAAGTATAGATTTATAAATTTATTACTCTGTGTCAGGATTGTTTTTATTATCATTTATGAGGTCATATTATAGTATAATATAAATATACTCGTATATTATATACTGCCGAATACTATGTTCTAAAAAAAAATAAATATTAAACTAACTGGATTGATAATTACGGATTACTGTACTTGTGTGCTTAATTTATATTTATAAACACGAGTTCGTAGTAAACAATAAAAAATTTAAAAACATTAAGATCTACTCGAAATCTGGCATTATTTTAAGTTGTAAATGTACTATAAAATAGTGTAATTTACATAATCATGTCAGGAAGTACATTTATAAATATTTCGCTGTGTCATTAACATCTGTAGTACTATAAGTATTATGTATTATATATTGGACTCGGGTTCTTGGATTTATTAAACGCATTTAAAGTTTTCAGCCTTAAATGACGTATCCAATTACGTTCTAGAATACTTCAAAGCAGTTCGCTTATGCGAGCGTTTATAAATTTTCCTTATTAATAAACTTTGAAATTGTAACGATGGCTTACGATAAGAAAATAATTATTCGATAATTAAATAATGAGTAATACTAATTCAAAATGCACATCAAACAGCATTTACGTATCGTGTATGTATATTATATAATATGTAACCAAATAAAATGTAGGTATGGAAATTAAACCGCTTAAATTTCCGTCCGAAATGCTGTGATGCATCGAATCGAACTATATAATAAAATTATTATTTATTTTTTTGATTTTTTGAATTGTATTGATTTGTATGATGTTATTTGTTATTGATGCACAATATTATTCTTGAACGAATGTCGATTGAGTAAAACGCTCCCTTTGTATTCACATCTTTAAGACCGTAGTCTTGAAATGGTCATAAAATTATCAAATGGTCTTATAGTTGTTTTAACGATCGGGTTTTCGCTTTATTCGTTCGTGTGGCCAATAAATCTTGAATATAATTTTTATTCGGCGGTGAAAACATTAAGGATTTATTACCTTGTCGGCAATTGGGATCGGGTTGTAATCAGATAATATCAAAAAGAATTTCGTTTTAGATTCCACCCCGCCCTCCGCTTTTCTCGCTGCAATTTCTTAGGTTCGGGGAGACGAATACTGCAGTTTTATGTCGAGTTAGTGCGGGGGAAAACGCCAAATGCATAAAACGGGACTACAATTTTATTATTTTATATGTTTGGGCCAATGTATAGAGAGAACATAATTAAAAAAAAAAAAGAAAAAATGCTACGTGACTTGGAGTTTCATTATTTTTATTTTCAGCAGTAAAACTTTCAGTGGAACGAAAAAAAAAAATCAAACAAACTGCCGTAGTGGTTTCACCGTGTATAACTATTGTGAAACTGATTTACTGGAATTTACCTTTAATATAAGTACTCGTAGTAAAATAGTGAATTACTTGACAATTGTACATTAGTTATTTTTCAATTCTAAAGAGACGTTAAGGTTTCTAATCACGATTGTGTAGCTTTTCGCGCGTGCTATTAATGCGCCCAGACGATGCTATTGTTTCGTTTAAATCCGTTTAATATACCTTTTTTTCTTCTTTCTTTCATTTTAGTTTTTCATTTCAGAATTCTAAGTAGGGTCTCGATATGGAGCTATTATTTTACGAGAATTTACTATGAACTGTTTTAGAGTCGAACCATTTATTTATAAAAGACAGTGCCCCCAGGACGTTTGTCGGTATAAGATTGAGCTACGATTGGATTGTGTGAATTCGTATACCAAATGGAGATTGATAAGGTTCGATATCCAGTTTAAAGCTTAATAAAATCTGTAAAAACCTAATCGTAAAAAAAAATAAAATAAAATAACTTCTTTGATTTAGATCTTTATAATCTTTTTATCTCTGACAGCCAAAACCGACAATCGTACACGTGTTGTATGTTCTCGTATTTTTATTACAGAATTTTGTAAAAAAAAAAACAAGGAATGGAAATTAATACATAATATACACGTGTAGTAAACTATTGTTTATGATTTCAGTCAACATAAACGTCTATTATAGTGAAATATTTCGGATGAACATTTTATCAAAAACTCGAACAGAATATCTCAATATTTATATGTGAAGAAATGCATGAATAAAAAAAAATAAAAATATATAATTCGTTCACGTTCAAGTACCGTAGATTGATAATCCGCTTATGTTTTCAATCACGGCTGAGAAAAATAGAATACAAGCCAAAGTCAACACGCCATCTTATAGATCTGCAAATTATAAACAAACATCCAAGTTGTTATTGTATTTGTTTTTCCAAAAAGGATCAAAACACAGCAAATGTATTCCGGTCACACATCACAATCGTGTTTACAATTTCGATTTTTTTTGTTTTTCTTACGCTGGTGACACATCCAGGAGATAAATAAAAACTGCGGAAGTAAAAAAAAAAATAACTTTTGAATTAAGTTTATTATCCGACTAATGAGCAAAACGTGTAACAATTGAAACTGTTAAAAAAAATATAACGATGAGGCACTGTGTTTACATAAATAATATCGCTTTTTATCAAGTAATATGATACTAATAACATAATTTTAATTAAATGCCGTTATTCCATTACAATATTTGTTTTCGCCATAAACCGATAGTTCACGAGCTATGCATAATGATAATGTTTTGACAACAACCTAGTCGAGTATGAAATCGAGCTGTAACAACATTTACAGCTATCGAATATTTTCCAACTGCGGCTTGAGTTTTGAATTACTTTTGTTAGATGATTTGGAGGTACCGCACTACTTAGTAGGTTATTTAAATTACAGCTAACAGCCTTGTACGTATAACTAATTGTACTATTGTATATATTTATACTATATATTTTACGCTTTTAAAGATACCGGGAAATTTTTCCACGTGACCAATACGCTTAGCGTTTATTTACCAATACTATCATTGCAACAGTTTCGTGTTCAAACAAATAGCGAAATGTCGAACGTTCATTCATTACTTTATACGTTATACACTATGTTAGTTTATAATCCGTTCCGAGTGACAGAATCAAAAGGAAATCGACATAAAATTAGTGCAACTTGTGATCAATGTAGGAGTAAAATGAGGTTTAAATCAAATAA